TTTGTGTATTGGACCAGGTGCACTTCCAGACCAAGGTCGAGTAGCAGCTGGCGGCCCGGGCGCGCCGGGCTTCAGGGCCTCCTGGCGTAGCTCAGACCCCCCCCCCTGGGCTGCCGTGTAGCCGGCTACATCGGCGCATCCGGTTCCAGGTCCGGCTCTCGACGGGCCAGGTGTGCCCCCTGGAGATCGATGGTCAGGACCACCTCCACTTGATCGTCTCCCTGCCTTGCTGTCCGGCCACCGTGTGTCTCATTTCCTCGGTTTGTGGAAGCCATGGCAGATGTCACAGTGTCTCTACTGTGCGGCAGGGACGGTGGACGGGTACTTGGTTGGCGCTGGCCCGCGGGTGGCAGCAAGAGAAAGAGCACGTGTTTCGGCGTTTGCAATCGCCTCCTATGGCCGTTCGCGCCCTCGTCGTGGATCCTGCAGCATTGCGAAGCCTGGGTGCTCTTCGTCGTCTTGTATGTGTTGGCCTTCAGGAGATTCGCAATACTTATGCCCGCGAATGGCTCTCACATCGTCTCCGCGCAGTCTCTGGCAAGAAACGGCGATGGGCGGACATCGTGCCTTGTAAGAAGGCTTGTGCATGTTTCAAGAAATTGGCTTTGGGTGCCGAGGGCATGGGGTCTCTGGCGACTATGCCGTCTCTTCGACCCGACGTGGGACTTATGAAGTTTCCTCGCTTGCCGACCTCTCTTGCTCTGCACTGGCAGCTGCGGAGGCAGCTTCGCCAGTGGTGCATGGGCCATCGGATTCCTGCGCGGGCTCGGCACTCCATGCGCGCAGGCTTTGAGAGAGCGCTGCGGTCGCTCCAGACGCCGGAGCTGTCCCCGCAGTGGCTCAGTTTCTGAGGCCGACCTCGAGGAGGCAAGTCACATTGCGGAGTGCGTGCGTGGTGCAGCACGACAAGGACCCGATCAAGGTGTCACCGTTCAGCCCGCGGAGCTGCAGGCACGCATAACGAGCGATATCGTGAAGGACCCCGAGTGGGTAGGAGATGGTGCAGGCCTGGAGTTACTCGCAGTCGTGTCTGGGCTTACCTTGGTTCTTGAGGTGGCTCAGAGGTCGAACGCGGCCCACTGCCCTTCCTCTGCTGTTCGCGCTTGTGATGTGCTTCAACGACCAGGGGGGGCCATGTCTTCTGGAAGCTGGGCCGCTCTTGTTGCCGCCGGGTCTTGGACACCTCTCGGACGGCGTTCACCAGGGGCTGGTTTACATGTGTGCGCGCTGTACGGGCCGTGGTGCAGAGCCTGGGAGGCCACGAGGTCTTCGCCACCGCGGACGCTGGAGCGCGCCTGGCAGACGTCTTGGACCGTCCAGGCCCGCCGCAGCCTGACGTCGATGTCCGGGTTCGCTGCCGTCGGCTTGGCCATGACTCCGGTGGCCAGCTGTCCGTGCCCACGTACGAGAACGACCAGGCGTTTGAGAGCTGTCGTTATTCGGGCCTTCCAGTTGCATGGCAGCCGATCTGGGAAACGTACGTCGAGCTCCATCAATCCGAGTACGTCATGATCAAGAAAGGTAAGGACTATGCTGCCCGCGTGGGCTCGGACGGCTCGAACCGACGTTGGTGGGTCTTCTCCATGGATCAGCTCGGGTGCGCCCCGTTGGGGGCGGCCTCAGGCAAGTACGTGTGCCTTGGAAACCTCGTGGTGCATATGCTCGGCCTGGCCATCGGCGGCGACATGTCGGCAGCATCGGTCTCGGCGCAGCTGGCGAGCGAGGAGCTATCCATCTTCGCTCGCCAGCCCCACTTCGAGACTGCGGGTGGCGTGGCCGTCTACGAGCCGGGCAGCCAGGAGTGGCTCACGTACGTGGGCGATGGCCTGGCTTCCAGCTTCTCCTGAGATCCGACGTCTCGAACAAATTGAGACATCGTGAACTATCAGGACTGGAGCCCCGGACCCCGTCTTTCTGCGCCACTCTCCGAGCCGGAGCGATCTGTGAGGGTCCCGAGGCCCGAATCTGGGGAGAAGTGCCCGGCTTGGGTCTGCTTCTGCTCGCCGTGCCTCTGAGGAGTTCTTCGCCGTCGTGCCTCGCGAGCCGCCCTCGTTCGCTTGCGGCTCCACGGGGGCGCGGGCCGAGGCCCGCGGGCAGCAGGGCGCCGTCCTGTGCACGTGGTTTGGCTGGGAGCTGCTTGTGCATGGCGACGAGGTCCTCAGGGCCTTCGACAATGGCAGCAGGTCGTGGCTTTCTCACCGAGGACAGGTTGCACTCCTCCTCCTCCTCCTCCTCCTCCTTTCAAACATGTCAGCACGTCGTGACTCTATCACTGAGGGCAGGTTGCACGCCGTCATGTTTTTCCCTGGCCAGGGTCTCACGTGCTGCCGTGTCAACAGTTGCGGGCTCGGCTGTTGACCAGACTTGCCACTTGTCTGGAGGCTGGTTTCGATGATCATTCGCAGGCAGTGTATCTCTTGGAAGTTGTGCGTGTGAGATCTTGAGGTTGGCGTATCCCCCGTCGTTGCTGCGTGGCCTTCCCTTTAGCATGGTTCCGTCT